AGAAAGATAGAGGCATTTTGTTTATTAGTGAGGAGACCTCCTACTTAGTAAGTTAGTATTAATGGAAATGTCTCGGTTTTTGTTTCATCGTTCAGACATTTTGTTCATGCACTTTTGCAACCCTGCGGAATATGTATAAATTATAATTTAAGTAACATTTTTAAAAGAAGTATAATATATCTATTATTTACTAAACTTTTCTTTTGTGAACCATACTTGATCCAAGTTTCCGACTTCAGAAGATTTTATTTACCTGTTTGACTGTATAATTGTGTCCTGTTTATTATTGCGTTTTCAGTGCTCGACAAAGCAGCCGTCGTAGAAACGTCACGGATCCGCTTTCCCCGTCGTCTCCCATAGGAGCTGCCGTCGCCACCGTCCCTGACTTGCAGCGCGGCCCGTCGACTGTGCCTCCTCGGCGATCGGTTTCCATCGCTACCGCTGTCGCTGTCGTCGATACGTCCGCACCTCGCCCTTCTCCTACTGCCTCAGTCGCTGTTTCCGGAATCGCTGATCCGTACGATCAGGTTCGTCAGGACGTTGCTGTGGTGAAGATGCAGTTGATCCGGTTACAGCGGATTCTGTTGGTAAGTCCGTCGTATAAAATTCTTTCATATCCGTTTTCTAGTCTTTTCTCATTGTTGAGGTTTAAACTTTGATGATTTCAGATTAAATGCTTAATTTGATGTTTGGGTGTCAGGTCAGATATGTGGAACTGTAGATGGGCAAAGCTTCTTCTCGGCCTTTCTGAATGGTACAAGGAACGATCACCTTGACTGATGGGTGGACGGTGGCTGCTATATGGTATGCAGGGGCTGTCATTCAACAGGCGAGGTATGAGGTACAACTGACGGGTGCCGAGCAAGGGTTCTGTGCGCAAGACGCACATGACATCAAATCTGTTTAGAGGTCTCAAATTGTAATCAGAATTTAAACCTCCAGTCGGGTGGCATCCGGAAATATGGATTCCGTATTCAAAAGTATCTTAAAAGCCACTAGGCGATCTTGTTTATCTGAACCGTTTTATTGGAAATCTGTGATATTTCATAAGGCTCTTATTACTTGCTAATCTTTCTTTGATGACCGCAGAACAGGATTGATTGTGTGCAAAATGTTTGTGTCTCTGCGGATTCCATAAATTCGTTTTTCCTGTTTGCTAGAAGCTCGGTGGTTTTCTCACGTAGCCGCTATTTTATCTCGTATTTGTTTTGTTGATCACGACTTCGATTTTGTGGCCCAAATTTTCGGCTGATTCACCCTTTTCGGCTGTTTGAAAGTCTTTTCAATTCTTTCATCGCCAAAGCGAAAAATATTTTCGTTTTCCTCGCTTAAACAGCTGTCTCAGCGTGACCTTTATCTTGACAGTCCGGTTATGGCGTTTTTCCGTTCTTCCCGAGCCAATGGTACTCGAATGGTCAGCCGAATGTATGGCTTCTGACTGAAGACAACAGAAGTTGACTGCAAAAGCTGTGTTCGTTTGTGCTTGATGTGATCATTATTCTGAACTATTTTCCTAAGTAGGATTTTCCTGGTTTGTGATATCCGCTGTATCCGCATCTTTTCAACACTTTTTCTATACGGCGCTGGTTACCGCATCTTAGAAGGAAATTTTCCTCTTTGAAATTGGATTTGCCTCTACTTTGTTCCTTCATATTGCGTGCTGGCCTCTTGGTCAGCTTTTTCCGTGTTCATATTCCCACGAAGAACTTATGAGCTTATGTAAACGGTATATGCCCAATCGGTTTTTCCAACAGAGCCAACCTCCTTTTCTTCATAATCAACCCAATCCACCGAGGTCACCTGTGCGCGCATGATAGTGGAATTATTTGTTACGTGGTCGTGGCATTCTGTCCGTAATATGCGTCGAAGCGATGCTGTTGTATGTAGTTCATTCGACGTTTTTGCTCACGCGTTGTAACGACTTTCTTGGTGCCATACAGCAAACATAACTGACATAATAGAGGCATGGTACAAACGGGTTTTCTTGAGAAGAACACCTGTTCTCAACCCAAATATTAGACAGGTTTGCAAAAGCAAGAAGCTGAGGTGATCTTGCAATTTAATTCAGGTTCGATAGAGTCATCGTTGGGGGTAAAGAAGCCAAGATATTTAAACTGGTCGGCCTCATGAAGTACTTCACCTTCGTATTTCACTTGTAGATCAGGAGTTCGCTGAAACAGCTGACTGCTGCCATCAACGTTTTGCTAGAATCTGTTCTACGCTGCAGTGCGAACGTCTTCAGTCTCTAAAGCAGTTGTAAAAGTTGTAGTTATATGCTTATTTTTTATGCAGTTGTTTTGGGCGTAATGTTTATCCAGTGGAACACGATCATAAACTTTTACTTCTTCAAAAAACCAGTTGTTTTTCCCTGGCATCGCAACGTTCCTCGGTTCCTGTCCTTTTCTGCATATGACAAGTCAATCCATTTCAGCAGATAATTAAATCCAGCTTCATACACTCTTAAATCAGCCTTTCTCAACTTCATGAAGTGCGCATGTTTCAGGCCACTTAAACAGTGCTCTAACGATGCACTTCTTATAAGGAAACTGAAGCAACTTTTCGTCTCATTTCATAAGAATATTAATAATGTCATTCAATGAAATTTGAGTTTTATAATAGAACCTGTATTTTGTCGTTTACAAGGCATAGGCCGTTTCAACATATAAATTTTAACACGTACTCACAATTCTTTTCATTTCCAAATTATTTGAAGAAGTTCAAGTTCCTGACGAAATAACACCTGGATTTCTTTTGCATGAAAGGTCTCATTTTAGGTTTACATAAGTCTATGTTAGTATTGAATGTAGTAAATATGTATTAAATAAAAATATTGTTTATCAAAAATTATATGCAGTTGGATTTGATTTCGAAAATAGTTAAATACTGTCGTTTTTAGTATGTCGTCGATTCGATGGCTATGTACGCAGCGCACAAGACTGATGTTAAAGTCTTTATTCTTACTGCCAACGTTTCGACCAAACGGCCTTTGTCATCTCTGCCTTAAGACAGACAACGGAATATTGCAAGTTTTAATTGTTCTTTATATGGGGAAGACGTTCCGGACATAGGATAGGCAAGCTCAAGTCAGGCATCAACAATAAACGTTCTGAGAACACTGGCTTTGTTTTCTGTCAGAAAACAATTTATAATTCTGATTGATTATCTTGATTTGTGTACAAGATTATATGGGAAATCAAATCACAGTCATTATCAGACGGATATTGTACATCCTAACAAATGGTACTCGATAATAATTGTAATAATATTTGAAGTTGTAATAACTGTTTTACAATTTCATAAAATTTTTGTCATGTTGTACTTAGTGTACTTTTTTATGTAAAGCTAGTATTTATTACGCTCAAGAAGACTGTTGTTGTTTCAGTAGGAACGCCAAAATCGTAAAAGTTTCTTGATCGTAATCAGTCATCACTCTTGTCTCAAAAACCATGCCGTAAAAAATAAATTTATTAAGTGCTGCTTAATTTCTATTTCGATGCCACTAGCAATGATTGGCTTGTTTATGGAAGTGGTAGTCACGTTTATGTGATTTCAGTAGTTTGATTTCTTGCATCTTCTCCGCGAAGAGGTATTCGGTGTTTTTGCAACTTGAGAGACTGTGAGGCAAGTGACCCAGCTGAGATTGGTGTTCGCGGATTTCCAAGTAAGCTCATGGCACTCTTGCGGATGGACTACCATCAACGGGACTTTTAACTTGCTGACTACTCCAGAACAACTCAGTTTATACCGTGTGCAAATTATTACTCCAAATATGCAACTTCAGGCAGGTCAAGGCGAACTGCAGCCTTGCGAGGCATTCTTATCAGACAGCAGGACCATACCTTTCGTTCATTCTTGTATGAACACATTAGAAATCCGTTCTGTCCCTATTGTTCATCAGGCAACGATTTGTGACCGATTTTTCGGCTGATTCCACCGAAAAGCGATGTGTAAATTCGTTGCCCATCGGAATTAGCAATTAAGAACATTAGAAGCTTCTAACCTGACGCTCCCAGAGTTCGAAGCCGATCACACCTTGCACTCCCTCCCTGCTTTTTGACTTGTGTACGGCTAGAGGCATGAGAAATAATAGTAAACCCTGAAACATTCACGCTGCTTATTTAAATGATTTTAATTTTTTTCATCTTCATCATCTTCATCTTCCATCGCCGCTTCTCCTTCCGGGTCGCGGAGGCAGACGCGTCAGACA